CCTTTCTGATTCGTGTTTCTAGTTTCTTGGGATATATTCCTAGGAGTGGGATCACTGGGTGAAATGGAAGTTCCATTTCTAGTTTTTTGAGGAAACTCCATACTGTTCTCCACAGTGGCTGCACCAGTCTGCATTCCCACCAGCAGGGCACGAGGGCTCCTTTTTCTTCACATCCTCATCAGCACTTGTAATTTGTTGCTTTGTTGTTGATAACCATTCTGACAGGTGTGAGATGGTACCGCATTGTCATTTTGATTTGCATCTTTCTGATAATTAGTAACTTTGAGCATTCTACCTAATAAAATAGTAATGTGCAAATTAACCATCACTCCGCTACACCCACAAGCATTGCCCACTAGCTGCGCCCACCAGCCAATCAGAGCAAGTATGCAAATAAACCCAACCAAGATGGCTACAGCCACAGAGAGCAGGAGGGAGGCTTGGATTTCCCAGGCAATGGAGGAAGCTAAGCTTTCCACCTGTCCTTGCCGGCCTAAGCCTCCACTCAAGGCTTCCAAGTTTCAATTATAGAAGGTAAACAAATCCAAACAGAAATGGCGGCAGCCATGGAGCTGGAAAGAGGCAGCCATGGAGCTGGAAAGAGCGGGAGGCTAGGGATGCCCTCGGCAATGGAAGAAGCAAAGCTTTCTGCACACCCTGGCCAGCCCAGGCCTCCGCTTAAGGATACACAGTTTCAATTATAGAAGATAAACAAACCCCAAAAGAAATGGCTGCCAGCCACAGAGCAAGCAGGAGGCTTGGCTCTGCTCCAGGCTACAAAGTTTCAATTGTAGAAAGTAAATAAATTCCAGATACTAGGGCCTCCAGTTGGGTTACCAGGGTGCATGGCTGACCTGCAAATCACCAGAGGCCCCTCGCCCAGGCTACCCCTCACCCTAAGGGAACCCCCACCCTGATCCAGGACACCCTTCAGGGCAAACCAGCTGGCCCCCACCAGTGCACCAGGCCTCTATCCAACTATAAAAGTAATATGCAGATTGACCATCACTCCAACACACAGATTGCTGCCCCCCCCCCATGTGGTCAAAGATCCTGCCCCCATGTGGACACAAGATGGACACCACAAAATGGCCAGCAAGGGAGGTCAGTTGGAGGTAGGTGATCAACCCTGCGGGGGGGGGGGGGGGGCACCGCGCAGTTAGGGGTGACCAGGCCGGCAGAGGAGGGAAGTTGGGGGTAAGTAGGCTGTCAGGGAACCAGTTAGACATCAGTCAGTCAGGCATGGGAGTGGTTAGGGGATGATCAGGCTGGCAGGCAGAAGTGGTCAGGGGCAATCAGGAAGGCAGGCAGATGAACATTTGGGAGCCAGCAGTCCTGGACAGGGATCAGGCCTAAACAGACAGTCGGACATCCCTCAAGGGGTCCCAGATTGGAGAGGGTGCAGGCTGGGCTGAGGGACACCCCTCCACTCCCCCATGCACAAATTTCGTGCACTAGGACTCTAGTGTTTTTATATGTCTCTTGGCCTTCCTTCAGTCTTTAGAAAAGTATTTAGGTCTGTTGACCATTTTTTGATTGGGTTATCTTCTTTTTGTTATGTTGTATGAGTTCCTTGTAAATGTTGGAGATTAAGCCCTTATCCATGATAACATTGGCAAATATGTTCTCCCATGCGGTGGGCTTTCTTGTTGTTTTAACTTCAATGTTTTTAAATCAACAGTCAAGAATTTTAGTCCAGCAATGACAATGAAAGAGTGTAATAGCTCAAATTTCTCTTCAACTGTTGACAAACTTAATCACCAGCCGCCTCTAACCAAACTGACATGAATTCACACTAATAAGAAGAGTGAATTTCTGCAAATATTGAAAAGAGATAGAGTGGAAGAGGAGCATAAAAACGAAAGCCAAGAAGGATGACGACTCATTTAACTTGCATAATAGCAACAGTACTCAGCAAGTTAGAGGTATAAACCAAAACTTGGATGAAAATGAAATTCCACAAGAGAATGCTTCGGTTATTTCCCAACAGATCATTTGGTCTTCAATCCCACAAACAGATGTTCTTTCAAGTTCACTTGAAGGAGAACACACATTGTTAAAGGAGATCAGCTGGCATGAAAACAGTGAAAACGATGAAACCTGTGCCCCCTTGACTGAGGATGAAATGAGAGAATTCTAAGTTGTTAGGGAACAGTTGCAGAAGAATGACCTGGTGGAAAAATGACCTGATTTGTGACTTCAAGATTGGATCCTGGAAAAACAGCACTTTTTACCCCATGATTGAGAATGATGACATAGAGATGAGCAGCAGCAGCAATACATCCAGGGACAACGACGAAGACAATGTAAGGGTCCTGGCAGCCTCAGAGGTTTAGTTTGGCACATACTCATGCAGTTGGGGTGGAGTATAAAATGAAGAACTATCATTTATGCAGTAAAATGCCCCATCAGAAAATTTTGGGGGGCACTTTGATTTTAAGAAAACCAATAATATTGTGCAGGCTGTATTGAACATTCTTTCTTTGTATGTGGATGTTGTAGAATTGAGGACTTTGGTTCTCTTCATCACTGCAGCATTGATTCTCTTCATCACTGCATCATTTGTCTGACTAGCAATGTGACAGGTTAACAGATGAGATAGTCTCATTTAATAATAAAAAAAATGTGTAATGTTTTGCAAAGCTTCTGTCTTAAAATGTCTGGCTCTTAAGAAAAAAGGCAGCTTACATTGTTTTCCTTGCAGAGTCCTATCTCTTCATACATTGGAAATCCTCAAGTCCACTTTGTGCATTCCCACCCCCCAAAAAGACAATGTAGCATGTTGGCTAAAACTAGAGCAAAGTGCACTAAAACATTAATTTTATGCTCAACTGTTGTACTAGTCACTTTTTAAAACATAAATTGCTCTTTAGCCATATATACTTCTGTAACTATTACAGGAAAGACTTGCTAAACTTTCTTCCAAATTTTAAGACGATGTTTTCAAGAGCTTTACTTGGGTATATTGTCAGACCAGGATTTTCAGAGTTGATGAAAAAGAGTTGTGGGAAAATTTATTTTGATAAATTATTACATGAGCAGAAAAATTGATCACACTGACTGGATCTGTCCACAATATGGAAATAAACTAGATTTTTGAAAAAAAATAAAATATGCAATACCTGACTGTTTAGTCAGGAGCACTGACCTCTTTTCCCTTAGCTTGTCAAATTAAAAAATGACAAAAATTCTCCCTAGGTAATTTACTAGCACATTTATCTTCCTATACAGTTTTCTTATGTACTTAAAACTGTATGTTTTGCAGGTTTTTCTTGTTTTGCTTACCATATTAAGCCCCATGATATTAAAGGCTTCCTAAACATTTTTTAAATGGCTAGACACTATTTCAAAATGGAAACGAACATTAATTCCTTTAATGTCCTGTGTTGATTTAAAATATTTTAAAATTTATGCAGATGCTTTGAAAAATTTTTGTAACCTTTTATGTAAATGTATTTTTAAAATTCTTGGTAGATGACAAACTGCTTTCTGCCAAAGTTTTTGCAGGTTACTCTTCTAAGATTTCTATTTTATACTGACCCCTTTTCCCTTAGATTGTCAAATTAAAAAATGACAGCCCTATCTGGTTTGGCTCAGTGGATAGAGCCTCAGCCTGTGGATTGAAGGGTCTTGGGTTCAATTTCGGTCATGGGTTCATCCCCATTACGGGGGAGAGGGGAGCCAGAGGCAGCCCATTAGTGATTCTCATCGTTGATGTTTCTCTCCCTCTCCCTTCCTCTCTGAAATCAATAAAAATATATATTTTTAAATGACAACAGTCAACACAATAGCCCTCCAGTATGAATGAGTTAAAATTACACCTATTTTTTAGTCATGTTTTAGTAATTATGTGTGCCTTGAGATTTAAAAAAAAAAAAAAAGTTGAAAATTGCTGGTTTATAACAATCACCATGATTGGTGTGAAGAATGGATGTGGGGCCTGTTGGGCATTGGTTTGATTCCCAGTCAGGGCACATGCCCAGGTTGTGGGGCATGCAGGAGGCACTGATAAATGATTCTTTCTCATGATTGATGTTTCTATCTCTCCTCTCTAAAACCAATAAAAAATAAAAAATAAAGAATGGATTGGGTAGGGAGGGGTAGAAGCCCAGAGGATCTGGGTGTCAGTGCAGCTTTGCTACAAAGGTGTGGCACCAACCCAAATGCATCATCAGGCACACTATGGGAACTCATCAAAAACGCAGAACCTCAGCTCTCCAGCCCTGATCTCTCATTGGATAAAATCCCCCAGATGACTCTTATGCGCATTCAAGTGTGAGAATTACTGATCTAGACGGTTGTTTCAAACTGCTGCACACTAGAATTGCCTAGGGAGCTGTAAATTTTCCAATGTCCAGGTCACATCCCATATCGATTAAGTCAATCTCTGTGAGTGGGACCAGAAAGCAAAACCCCTCCAAAAGGGATTCCAAGGTTCAGCCAATTCGACAGCCTGTGATCTGAGTAACAGGGGAAGAAACTTAATAGCCAGTGGGCACAGGTAGCTGAGGAATAGGCACGGGAAGGGAACGTGCTAAGTAGTTCCGTTAGTTTTATTTTTGCACAGTATCCATGTAGTTAAGGTGACCAGACGTCCCGCTTTTGGCCAGACAGTCCCGATTTCTAACAATTTGTCCCGCGTCTCGCGGCGTTTTAAAACAGTCCCGATTTTGGGAAAGATCGGGACTGTTTTAAAACGCCGCGGGACGCGGGACAAATTGTTAAAAATCGGGACGTCTGGTCACCTTACATGTAGTGCCGATGTAACAAATAAGACGAATGGAAGGCCTGATAGTGTTCCTGGACCAGGCGATAAACAGCCGGGCAGGGGCAGACGGCTGTCAACCTCAGGTAGCCCCGCCCGCCCGCCGCCGCCCACGGGGCTCGCCCGGCCCATGAGGCCCGCCCCTCCGCGGGCCTGGCGCCCACCCGCGCGCAGGCATGCGGCCTGGGGCGCAGGCGCGGTCGCCCCGGTGGCCGGGGTCGGCCTCCGTGACGTCAGCACGACTCGCGGGTTCCAGCCCCTCAGTCCGGCCCCCAACTACCGCGCGAGGCGGGCGGGAGCGGGTGCGGGCCCGAGGCGCTCTCCGGTCCGACCGCGCCAGTTTGAATGAAAGCTCCTCAAGATGGCGGCGGCCGGGGCCGAGGCGCGAGGAGGTGAGGGCTAGAGAGCGGCGCCGCTCACTCTGCTCCCTTCTGCTGGCAACCCACCCCCGACCCCACCTCCCGAGCCGGGGAGCGTGCGGGGGCGCGCGGGCCCGGCCCAGCCCGGTGACGCCTCCCGCCCTGCCCACACCTGGGCGCCCACATGCGCACCGCGGGCTTCGCCCTGCCCCGGCCCCTGGCCCCTGACCCTTCTCGCGCCTCGGCCGGCTTGTTCCCCGGAGTCCCCCCCTCCGCCCCGGCCTGCGCGCCCGCCGCCGGCCGCCCCCTCCCGCCCGGCGGCCGTGCGGAGGCATTGGGGCGGCCCCCGCCGCTCCCGCTCATTCCCAGGGGCCTGGGTGCCCGTGGGAGCGCGTGCGGATGGGCTTCTTTGTGGTGGGTGGAGCGGAACATTGGTGTCCGGGCTGACTTTTCACTGGGAAGTGGGAGGGCCCGGAGGTGTGAGTGTGACCTCGGTGTCCGGGGACAGAGAAATTGGGGCAGGATTGTGACCGTTCCTAAAGGCAGTGAGCGAGGAGGATACATCCCAGTTCGGCCTCCCTGGGAGGTTAAATTCCCGTCGGAGGTGATTGCAGTCAGGGGGTGTTTGAGGATGTGTCCTCCCGCCTGGAATCCCTCCTATATCCACCCGGAGCTTGTGGTGTTTGCATGGACGCTGAAGAATTAGGTACTGAACGCGTGTGTGTGTTCTTGTGCGCTCTTGAAAGACTGGAACTTTCATTGCATTCTAGAATTTAAAGGTGTCTTCCAGGACTAGTCCTCTCCACGTAGATTATGAAATCTTTGTCCGCCAAATTCTCTTCCACTAGAGATTACTGTGAACCATTCATTGAGCTGTTATTGTTTTGTGTGTGTGTGTGTGTGTGTGTGTTGGCAATGAAATGTTTAATCTTGCACATGAAATTTTTTCCTACATTAATCAAAATTGTTACAGGAGTGTTTTATGCTTTTTTTTTTTTTAAACTCAATAGCATTTCCATCGAAGGTTATGTCTTGAATCCCTTTACTTCAACTAGATAAAAATGGTATCTACAGCGGACAAGTCATGTGGGGTAGATATCCTAGAGGGACCTCTTTTGCATGTGGTCAGCATAATATCCTAGAGGGACCTCTTTTGCATGTGGTCAGCATGCCTGCGCGCGGGTGGGCGCCAGGCCCGCGGAGGGGCGGGCCAGCATAATGAGGTTAACACAAAACAGCTTGAAGGTTTTTTAATTGAAAGGATTTAGGGTTCTTTACTGTTCTGCTACTTTCTACCCCCACACCATCCCAAAGCAAGCAATCTCTTCTCCCACCCCCCTCCGTTTTTGCTTTTTAAAATATCTTTCTCCTACACACACACACACACACACACACACACAATGTCTTTCACTTCCTTGATGTAAAATTTGAGTCCTTTGTGGGACAGTAGGGTAGAGATAGAAATCCTGCTTCAGGGTTTCTTACTGTGAAGTCCCTGTGTGCGTGGATGGTGAAAAATGGATAAAGCAAAATCAGCTGTGGTCTCTCTAAGTTACCTCAAAACACAAAAGTTATCACAGCTACCTTGGAGAGCTACCAAATAAAGCTTGAGTTTACTTATAGATGTTGTTTCAGAACCCCAGTATACTCCAACCATTGGATTATTTCAATGAATCTGAAACCCAGAACAGTGAAAATCTCGCTAAAGTCATATACTAAAGTGGCCTAGTAAAGGCTGGGGCAGAGGGCCTTTGATCTTATCTAGTGCTTACCATAACACTAGCTATGAAACCAACTTTATTACAGATGTCTAAACATCACTTTGTGTTAGCATATTTTACTATTTTACTAGCAATATTGGAGCAGAAATTTTAGGGTAAAATTTGCTGCAGCACAATTAGGTATTGGCTACTGTAAGACTGATTGAGTGGTGTCTGATTTTCTTCAAGCTTGGTGTATGGCTGATGTAAATTGAATACTCTGTTTTGTAATTCTTGGCTTTAAAAAACAATACAGGAAATGAGTATGACAAAAATCAGTATACCTTCCATTATGTTATTATAACGGGTTTATTTCCCTTAATAATAACTTTGAAGCAAGGGCAAAATAAGTGGAGTTAAAATTTCATGCAACATTGCAAACTGGAAAAAAGACATAGGATGTATGATCATGTCACAGAGAACTATATTTCAGTTAGATTTCACTTCTTATCCAACAGAAGGCGGGGGAAGTTACTTTTAAAATTTTTTAACAAATTATAAGATTATCTTACTATATATTCCTAACAATAAGAATGCCCTAGCTGTTTACATTTTATTAAAACAATAATTCTATGTAGACTATAATGGAAGAGTAAAAAACCTTACCCCTTTTGACCTTTGCATCTGTATGTAATCTTAAGAAAGCTTACAGACATGAAATATTTTGTTCAGGTGGCTCAGTAGAAATTATTTTACATCAGTTAAACATAGTAGGACATGAAAAAGTCCAAGAAGACCAATTTACCAAAATAGTTCTTTAATGCTTACCTTTGTCTTGAAGACACAAAAATGGTTTCTTGTCATATGAATTTTTAGTCCTATAAAGTTGCCAGTAGAAGGGTTGGGATATAGAAATCTTAAGTTTTTCCTTTTTCTTTTTTCTTTTTTGTTTTTTTTTTGTTTGTTTGTTTTAATTCAGTAGCTATTTCATTAGTAAAGAGTTCTATTTTCTTATTGTAGCTTGGTGTGTGCCTTGCCTAGTTTCACTTGATACTCTTCAGGAAGTATGTAGAAAAGAAAAGCTCACATGTAAATCGATTGGAATCACCAAAAGGAATCTAAACAATTATGAGGTGGAATACTTGTGTGACTACAAGGTAGTAAAGGTAAGGCAAATATCTAGTCCCTTAAAAGAGACTTAATTAGATTTCAGTATTTCATATTTGTGTAAGATAAAAAGAACCTTAAGTAAGCAAAGCTCTTCTTAATGTTTAAAGCCATAATAATTTATGTCTTGTCAATATTACCAAATGACATTGAGAGGATTTTTAAGCATAGGTGTGCTTGCATTAGAATATTTGAAGTGCTTATATCATTCTACATCCAACTCTTGATTTTCTCTATGTGGGTTACCAGAGCAAATATTTGATCTCAGATTGGCTTCTCCTGGGATTCATTTTGTTCCTGAATCATATTTCCCCACTATCACCTTAAATGAACTTAGAAATTCAAACCATATTTTTGTGTTACTGAATCTCCTCAAGAAGCAGCACCATTTGTATTTCCTGCCAACATGTCAAGCTCCCGATATTAGTGTGGTTCTGTGGTGTAGTAGAAATGGCATGGAGTTTAAAGTCAGTCCTAGTCTCTGTTTAGTGTCTTAAGACTTCAGCAAAGTCACCTAACTTCTCTGGGACTTACTTTATTACTATTCCTTTTTAAAATGATAGGATTGTTCTAAAAAGCTTTTTCAATCTAAATCTTACAATAAATTTTTGGGTAATCATCCCTACAGCCTATTCTCTCCAAGAACTCTGTTTTGATCATTAGTCTGTCAGTTTTACAGATAATCAGTAACCTTGTTTAATTCTTTGTTTTTCTTCATCAGATTCCATATTGATTTAGTAATTAAATGCAGTTCTTCCTTTGAAATATCCATTCTTTGGTATCACTGTCTTCCTTACTCAGTGGGATTTTATGATCATTGTTATGATCTTCACAACAACCTTCAACCCCAAAGCAGCCCAATCATTTGCCTTTTCAGTTTATAAACTCTGGCCTGAATAATCTAGCTGAGAATTTCATATAATCACACATATTTGCTCCATTAAAGCTTATTTCTTTTTATTTAATCTTTTGCTCTTTTTTATTAAAATATGTTTTTATTGGTTTTAGAGAGGGAGAAAGAGACATAGAAACATCAATGATGAGAGAGAATCATTGATCTGCTGCCTTCTGCAGGCCCCCTATTGGGACCAAGCCCTCAACCAGGCATGTGCCCTGGACTGGAATCAAACCCAGGACCCTTCAGTCCATAGGCTGATGCTCTGTCCACTGAGTCAAACCAGCTGGGCTTTTTATGTTTTTTATTGATTTTGAAGAAAGAGGAAGGAAGGAGAGAGAGAAGCCTATATTGGCTAAAAGAAAGATATCAGCCGTGTCTAAAATTTATTTCTATTCTCATACTGCTCAACTTTACTTGGTATGCTTTTTTTCCTTCACTTTTTAAAAATATATTTTTATTGATTTCAGAGAGGAATGGAAAGGGAGAGAGAGATAGAAACATTAGTGATGAGAGAGAATCATTGATTGGCTGTCTCCTTATTGCCCCACAGAGGATGGAGTCCATAATCCAGGCATGTTCTCTGATGGGGAAATCAAACTCTGACCTTCTAGTTCATAGGTCAATGCTGGCTGGGCTATTCTTTGCTTCCTTTCGAATTCTTATCAGCAGTTTTCCCAACTTTTATCTCAGATTGGCTTCTCCTGGGATTCATTTTGTTCCTGAATCTTATTTCCCCACCATCACTTGAAATGAACTTAGAAATTCAAACCAAATTTAGTGTTACTGGATCTCCTCAAGAAGCAGCACCATACTGTTTACCATAGTGGCTGCACCAACTTACAATCCCATCCTCTCGTCTTCACCTTTTCTTGCTCAGTGAAAAATAGGATCCCTCAAATATGAATTCTTAAATTATCTTCACACCAGTTATTTGTATCTTCGCTTATTCATAGTTTTAGAAGTATCACCATTTGTCTTTTTGTTATCCATCCTCGTTAGGACTTTGCTTAATCTGTGATGTCTTGTTTGCACCTCTCATTTGATAAACCTAACTCTATGACTGTTTTTGTAACTGACAATTTGCACATCTTAGTCCCTTCCCTCTTTTTACCCATTTCTCCAACTTCCCTCACATCTGGCAACATCATTTTTTTTTCAAGATTTTTTAAATTGATTTTTAGAGAGAGAAGGGAGAGGGAGAGAGAAACATAGATGTGAGAGAGATACATCGATAGGATACCACCTGCATACCACCTGCCAGGGGTTGAGCATGAGCCTCTGGGGCATATTCCCTAACCAGGAATTGGACTAGCAGCCTTCTGGTTCACAGGATGATGCCCAACCCACTGAGCGACACTGGTTAGGGCTAGCAACCATCAATTCTTTGTATCTTTGAGCTTGTTTCTGTTTTGTTTTGCTTATTTTTTAAATTTCACATGTAAATGAAATTGTCTGATATTGTCTTTCTCTGACTTATTTCACTTAACATAATACACTCTAGGTCCAACCATGTCATTGCAAATGTCAGCATTTCATTCTTTTTTATGGCTAAGTAATATTCCATTGTATATATGTGCCACATCTTTATTCATTTTGCTACTTATGGGCACTTAGGTTGCTTCCTTGTATATACAAGGGTATATATAGCTTTTTGAATTAGTGTTTTGGATTTTTTTTTTTCCAGCTAAATACCTAAAAGTGAAATTGCTGAGCTATGTGATAATTCTATTTTTTTAATTTTTTGAGGAACCTCCATATTGTTTTCCATAGTGGTTGTACCAATTTACAATCCCACTAGCAATGCATGAGGGTTCCCTTTCTCCACATCCTCACCAACACTTGTTATTTGTAGATTTATTAATGATAGCCATTCTGACAAGTGTGAGGTGATAGCTCATTGTGATTTTAATTTTCATTTCCCTAATGATTAATGATGTTGAGCATCTTTCATATTGTCCTTTTGGAGATATGTCTATTCAGGTCTGCTGTCCATTTATTAATCAGACTAGAGGCCTGGTGCACAAAATTCATGCACAGAGGGGTGAGGGGGTGTTCCTCAGCCCAGCCTGCACTCTCTCTAATCTGGGAACCCTTGGGCAGTCAGACATCCCTCTCACAATCCAGAACTGCTGGCTCCCAACTACTTGGTTCCCTGCCTTCCTGATTACTCCTAACTGCTTCTGCCTGCCAGCCTGATCATCCCCTAACCACTCCCCTGCCAGCCTGTTTGCCCCTAACTTCCCTCCCTAGCAGGCCTGGTCACCCCTACCTGCGCTCCCCTGCAGGCCTGGTCACCCCTAACTGCCCGCCCCTGCAAACCTGGTCCCCCCAACTGCTCTCCACTGCAGGCCTGAGTCCCCCCCGAATTATCCTTCCCTGCTGGCCTGGTCACCCCCAACTTCCCTCCTCTGTCAACCTGGTTACCCCTAGCTGCCCTCCCCTGCAGGTTTGATCATCCACAACTGCCCTCCCTTGCAGGCCTGGTCCCTCCCAACTGCCCTCCCTGCTGGCCATCTTGTGCTGGCCATCTTGTGTCCACCGGGGGGCAGGATTTTTGACCACATGGGGGTAGCCATCTTGTGTGTTGGAGTGATGGTCAGTTTGCATATTGCTCTTTTATTAGATAGGATAGAGGCCTGCTGCACAGGTGGGGGCCAGCTGGTATGCCTTGAAGGGTGTCCCAGATCAGGGTGGGATTCCATTGGGGTGTGGGGCAGTCTGGGCAAGGGACCTGTGGTGGTTTGCAGGCTGGCCACGTCCCCTGGCGATCCAAGCAGAGGCCCTGGTATCTGGGGTTTATTTATCTCCTACAATTGAAACTTTGTAGCCTGGAGTGGAGCCAAGCCTCCTGCTTGCTCCATGGAGGCAGCTATTCCTGTTGGGGTTTATGTATCTTCTATAATTGAAACTTTGTAGCCTTATGCACAGGCCAAGGCAAGCCAGGGCTTCTGAAGCTTGGCTTCCTCCATCGCTGGGGGTAACCCTAGCCTCCTGCTCTTTCCAGCTCTGTGGCTGCCACCACTTCTGTTTGGATTTATTTATCTTCTATCATTGAAATTTTGTAGCCTAGAGTGGAGGCCTAGGCCGGCAAGGGCAGGCGGAAAACTTGGCATCCTCCATTGCCAGGGAAACCCAAACCTTCCCCCTGCTCTCTATGGATGCAGACATCTTGGTTGGGTTTATTTGAATATTCACTCCTGATTGGCTGGTGGGCGTGGCTTGTGGTGTAGCTGAGGTACAGTAAATTTGCATATTACTCTTTTATTAGATAGGATGTGTGTGTGTGTGTGTGTGTGTTGTATGAGTTCCTTATGAATTTTGGATATTAACCCCTTATTGGATGTATCATTAGCAAATATTTTCTTCCATTCAATAGATTACCTTTTCATTTTGTTGATGGTTCCCTTCACGCAGAACCTGCTTAGTTTGATGTAGTCCTATTTCTTTATTTTTTCTTTTGTTCTCTTTGCCTGAGGAGACATATCCAAAGGAATATCACTAAGAGCAACGTCAAAGGGTTTACTGCAAGTTTATGGTCCCAAGTCTTACATTTAAGTCTTTAATACACCTTGTAGGTGGTTTATGAAAATGGTCCAATTTCATTCTTTTGCATGTATCTGTCACGTTTTCCCAATATCATTTATTGAAGAGACTGTCTTTCCCCATTGTATATTCTTGCCTCCTTTGTAACAGATTAATTGACCATATAGGCATGGGTTCTTTTCTTGGGTCTCTATTCTGTTCCCTTGATTTTTCTGTCTTTTTATGTCCATACTATGTTATTTTTTTATTATTATAGTAGCCTTATAGTATAGTTTGATATCAGGTAGTGTGATACCTCCAACTTTAGTATTTCTGTTTTTTCAAGATAGCTTTGGATATTTAGGGTCTTTTCTGGTTCCAAATAAACTTTAAGATTATTTGTTCTAGTTCTGTGAAAAATGCCATTGGTATTTTGATCAGGATTGCATTGAATATGTAAATTGTTTTGGGTAGTATGGACATTTTAACAATGATAATATTTCTGTATATGAGCACCATATATCCTTCCATTTATTGTATTTTCTTCAGTTTCTAGTGCCTTACAATTTTCCAAGTATA